CAGGTACAGGGATCTGAACCCCTTAACCTTGGTGTTATAAGGCTGTGCTCTGACCAATTCAGCCAACTGGCCAGCAGTGGTCCCCATCTTGAAGGTAGTAGAAGCCAGAGAGAGTCAGGCTTGTGCCACTGAATGAAGGAAGATGCCACTTGCTGGGTTAGTGAATGCTGGAGAAAGAACATACTTGTCGTGGAGGCATCAAAATCTTGGAAATTTTTGTTATTCTAATTTATATGCAGTCTCATTTGAATGCCTCTATGCTGTCAACTCCTGGAATACATTTTCTTCTTGGCTTTATAACTTTACCTAGGTATCAATCTTTCTGACTGGATAAAAAACTTATGTTTTGGGTTTTCTTTTTCTTTTCTTTTTTCCAGGAGGGCAGCTGGCTGGTACAGGGATCTGAACCTGTGACCTTGGTGTTGTAAGGCTGCACTCTAACCAGTTGAGCTAACCGGCCAGCCCTAGGTTTTCTGAATGAGTGTTTTATAAGGAGAGCACTTTTAGGCACTTGGTGTCTTTTATCCCTGAGCATATAGCCTGCCTTCTTGCCAGGGGATCAAATACCGTTCACTAGGCATTCTGGACAGACCTTTGTGTTTCTGTCTTAGGAGCAGGCTTGCTGGCAATGATACCTGGCATTGAAAAATCCTTCCTTAAGCCTTTGTTTAATGCTAGAGATCTCAAATGCTTTCAGATTCTGGAGCGGTGCCAAATTGTGCTCCCGGATTAGGTGACGATGGAAGGACTCCCATAATCTATAAACCTAATATAAGCTACATTGCAAATGAACAAATTGTTTAGACTGTTGGACAGAGTCCCGGGTGTTTGGAGTTCCTTTTTTAGCCTATGCAAATTCTGAGCTATCGGACTTTTATAATTATGGTCTAATTAGCACATTATGATTTGTGCTCCTTTGAGGTGAGCCTTTATAAAAAATCCAGCCAGTTCCTTTTGCTGACCTCTAGGATGGATCACTGCTACAAGCTAGTTGTAACACTTTCTCATTTCTTTTTTTGTCAAAGACCTTGGTGGGAAATGTGAGTTAGAATGATAATCAGTTTGGGCTGGCCCGGTGGCGCACTGCTATAGTGCGCCGCTTGGGAAGTGCGGCGGCGCTCCCGTGGCCCCCTCTTGGGGTCAGAAGTCCCTGCTTCTCCCAGCCATCCCAGACTGTGAGCCCTTTCACATGGCCCTGCTTCTGACAATAGAAAGGGCTTATGGTGCCAGCCGTAACATTGAGTAATGCCGGGAGGTGCCTTCTAGAACAAACAATGTGGGTGAGCTCTGGAGAGAGGGAATACCTTGGACTTGACATTTAAATTACTGAATTATTTAAATGAATATCAATTAGGTAGAGTAGATGCACTGCTTTCTGCCAGGGCACTTCCTGGTTATTTGCACAGGCAAATGTAACATATTTCACATCAGATATAGGACTTCCTGTCTGTACTGTGAAGATCGGTCACAGAACGTGATTACCCATTCCTTGCTGGTCCTTGACGTGTGCTGTATTTATATCACAGTCTGAGAAATTAGGGGTCCACACACCCTTACCTGTGGCCTTTAAAGGGGTTTTATGATCCTTATTGAACTTCAGGCCCACCTCAAAGTATCACAAGCCTACACATGTTATGGTTATTCCTAAATTTGACAAGTTTAAAAAAGTGAGTTATATTGAGGCCAGCTATATTCCTTAGAATTGTGAATACTAAGATCTCAGAATGTTACTACTTTGCTTTTAACCTTCTTGTTGAATTAGTAATCCTAGTTCAGAAAATCTTTTGGCATCTCTTTGAATTCACTCTGTCAGATGAAATAGCGAAGGTGGTGGAATTTAACGTGTGTGCCGCACACAATTATTTTATTCTTATGAATTTAGGGTCTTCATTTAAATTTGGGTGAATACGAAAAAATATGTGAGAGACTCTGCTAATTACTTGTATGGGAATATACCAATTAAGAAGATTAAATATTGGGTGAGGAGCAAAATAGGAAAGAGAAGTTGGTGAAGATTTTGTACTTTCCCATTAGGTAACTGCTGGACTCAGCTTGTGCGTTCTGCACATCAGAGACTGAGTTGATTATTCCATATCAGTAACAACTGTCTTTCTTTGCTATTTTTCTTTTTCCTGATTGTGGAGTGTAGGACATGAAAACATTGATTTTTGACGTCTTATTGGAAAGAATCACCAACTTAAAGGTAGTCAACCCCTGGTCATCTATATGCAACTATAGGAAGTAGTAAAAGATTCAAGGAGAGTGTTTAATTAATGAGTGAATCCTTTTGACTTAGTTTATGGTCCTGCAAGATTAGGATCTGATTAAGATCAGTACTGCTTTATGCCCACATACACTGAAGAATTGGGTATAGTGAATTGAATTTTACTAAAGACAGTGTTTACTTAAGACTGTTCACTTCTGGCAAAATTCTCTAGGTTACAGTCCAAACATCTGTCAGAATGTCTGCACATCCTGTCAAAAATTAGAGACGTGGGAAAGGCAGTGCCCTTCTTGCATCTGTGGGCTTAGAGTTTAATTTGGGCTGGAACTTTAGAAACAGTTCACTCTAAGAGCACATTAGAGAAATTATTATTTTTTTTAATTTAAGATTTTTAATTTTTTAAATTTAATTATTGAAATATAGTTGATTGTACTTATCTGGGGTACAGAGTTGAGTATTATTACCTGTTGACATTTTTTTTATTAGAACCACAAAGTGTCATTAACCCTTTGGTACCCTGGACTGTCCATTTCTATAGGATCCGTGATGAGTGAGCCCTCTGTAGTCTGTAGTTACTTGTTGGCTATTGCTGTTCCTAGTGGACTGCGAGTTGAGTAAATCATATTCCTGAATGCACTATTAGTCCACGAACAGCTACTGTCCTCTTTTATTTTCATTTTACTTCTTGTCCCTCCCTCATCCTCAACCCAGCATCAATAGGCACATACTCTTTGATGTGTTAGATATATGTCTTTGCATATTTATGATCTTTTAAAAATATTTAGGGTTTTAAAATATATGTTTGTGTTTCAAATTTACATAAATTGCATCATTTCACAGTTTTTACAATATAATCTTTTAAATTCCCTACTGTAGATCATAAACAAATCAACATGACACCGTTAACTCTCCTTCCCACCCCACCCATTTGCTTCCCTCCAAAGAATCATCACCTGTTGGGCAGCATAGTTGGCAACACTCACCCAGCTTTGGGCCACTCAAGAGTGGCAAGCATGTCTAGACTCCCTAGAAATATTATCTTTCAGCTCTGCTTTGGCGAGTGTAAACTTTTTGCTGGATTATGTCAACAGATATATATGTTTCTCATCCTCATAGAAATAGATTGCTGCTGGAATTTCTCTTGGATTTCTCCAGGCAGGGAAAATAAAGACTATCTCTTTGCTCATTAAAATTTTTGCTCATTAAAGATGTCTGAGGGCTCTTGATTCTCAGGGGTGAGACTGGTGACATACATAGCACTGTCAGCGGCTGTTTTGGATTTTCTGCTTTCAGGCATGTCTTTGCTCTTGGATGAGCCCCTTGTGGTTTTCAAAAGAACGAGCAAGTCAATTATAAATAGAATGCTTATGTCTGTGTGTCTGCGTGCACTTACTCTGTGGGACGAGGCACCCACATTACAGTGGGCAGTGAACTATTTTTCCACTTCTTTGAAAAGGAAAGAAGAAAGATTAAGAACGCTTTTTTCTTTTTGAGATAACCCACATCTGTACCCACACCTACACTAATCTGTGTAAATGAACTTGACATTCAAAGACCTTACCTTAAGGTCTTCTCTTGAAAGCACAGCCACCTGACCTGTTATTTTAAGAAAGCAGCAGTTATTTCACAGACCCACTACTGAGGGTTTGAGGATTAGAAGGCAGCCTCTCTGTGTCGTAGACCTTTGGAAGGAGCTCTGAAAGCGGAATTTCCTTATATGTACAGGGCCCGGGTGAAAGTGGCCTCAGCTAACTAATCGGTGGCTTCTAGGTCTTAGCTGTTTACATTCTATCTTCAGTTTTCTTCCCCACCAGTGGAAACTGTTAGGACCTGCAAGTCTGAACTGATCATTCCAACAAGGGAGGGGGAAAGAGTGATGTGAAAATGAAACTGTAAATAAGTGTTTTCAGAAAGAGACAATTAGGAGGTCTGATTAGGAATGGTTCTTTGATGATATGTTTCTGTCTGTCTTTCCGTTGCACCTTGGACTCACCAGGTGTAGGCTGTTCCTCTTCCTACCTGTTACCTTGCTGTTCAAACACTATTCTATTCACTTTGTCTCCTCATGCCCTCAGCCTCGATATTTGGCACCAAATTTTTTCTGCCAGTTGAAAATTCTTAAGCAGCTATTAATTCCCATTATAATCAATGTAAAAACTTCAGTGTTACTAATATTGAAAAGTTAGTTTAGCATCTAGCTGGAAATATTGATAATATGGATTTGTAACTTATATTCGTATGTTTCTGAAGCAATCAGTTAACTGCAGGAACATCAGAGTTCCTTGTTTTACTAGATGATGGAGATTTGTACAGAGCTAGTAGGAACTGGTATTAACAGCTGCCATATAATTAGGAGTCATTTTTTTGGCTTAAAATTAAGGTGATGCACATTATATTTCAGTAAAACATTTTATTTTGATGCAGAAATTAGAATATGAGAGCTCATTAAGGCAAAGGCGACATGAAAACCACAGGGGGTGAAGTTCATTTTTAGTAGTCTGTGGACAGATGATAACCAGTCTTTGGCCTAGTATGATCTAAAAGGGCGCACTGCTTGTATAAATGCATTCACATGTTGAAAGTGGTTACTATTTGGCGGTTGATCCAGTGACAAGGTCACAGAATGTGTACGTCATGGCCAACTAATGGTGACGTGTAGCTTGAGTTTCTGTTTGGTGAATGTGTTTGAAATGGTTCTGGAGAAACTTTATTATTACCCCAATGAAGGCAAAACCCATGCAGTGATTTTTTTTTCCTTGCCCTCTGTCCTTTGCAGATGAGAATCCCAAGGCCAACCCCAAACTTTACATGTGTGTGTGTGAAGGCCTCTCTTGTGGGAATGAGGACCACTGTGAAGGCCAGCAGTGCTTTTCTTCCCTGAGCATCAACGATGGCTTCCACGTCTACCAGAAAGGCTGCTTCCAGGTCTATGAGCAGGGGAAGATGACCTGTAAGACCCCACCATCACCTGGCCAAGCCGTGGAGTGCTGCCAAGGAGACTGGTGTAACAGGAACATCACGGCCCAGCTGCCCACTAAAGGTTCCTGTGGACTCTTCTACTTCTAGATCAAGGGGTTTTGTTAGTGTTATCCCAAGTCTGTGTGGGTTAAAGATTGAAGTAGCCATGAGGCTTTCCTCCTACTCTTTGAACCAGAGGCGTTGGTTGACCACGAAGGTAGCTTTTGCTGAGGAAAAGAAAGGCATGCCCTTTTGGCCTCTAAAAGCAGGACAGACATAGTGGGAAATGTGTGTGGTGACATCCACGTGGGGGATGGCTTGGCTGACCAGTTCTTTCTTGGCCTCCACAACAGGTGAACGGTTCCCCACATCCTTTTCTGTTAAGGAGCCATGATGTCATTCATAATTTCTGCTTAGGAAATACTCATCCATATGTCCAGTGTGTGGGAGGAAAATGGAACACAAGACTGGTGTCTGAATGGAATGCCTTTCCTTTTTTATGAGGAAGGAGCCAGAGAAAGGCTTCATACCCTCTTCTTCCCTATCTGAACCCATCCCTGAAACTTGAAGCCAGATGAGATTTCGCATAAACCCAAATAGCTTATGTGGAGTTTTCTCCCTGCTGTATTCAATACAGATTCCAAATCCTATGAACATCAGTCCTCCTCTGAAACTGTTTCCTCTTAAAATTAGCCCTAAGTTGCTATCAAAGTCTCTGCAAATATTAATATAGACTCACTCCAAGCCAAATTTATTCTCTTAATGTATAGTATGTTTCCAATAGGTATAATTCTTTAATTTTACACTCACAAAAGAAGAAACAAACCGAAAGAGTGGATCAGGAGAGGCTGCTAGGAGCATTCACTGCCAGAAATATCAGCCAGCAAGGGAGGAGGCAGAAAAATGAAAAAGGCTGACAAGAGATAATATTAGAGCAATTTTGAAGTTATGGTGGTGACTTTAAGGCATGTACAAAGGTTTAAATTCTGGTAAGCAAATAGGGTTGGATAATAAAAGAAGGTTTTAAAAATGAGAGATCAAGTATTTAAATGGTTAAAACTAAAAGAGTACTTGATGGAATAAACTTTTAACACTTTGTGAGTTAAATTTTTATTGATTGGGTAAATGGATATGAAGAAATGACTGCCTTCACACAAAAATTATGATATCAACAGTATGAAGTTCCTAATCTGCCGAGAATTTGCTAGATCCTAACTTTTAATGGCATATATATTTTCTTTAAGAAATTTTTAATCTAAATAAGGAGGCCACAATATTTATAATTTAAAGTTGTATTTCATTAGTTTTGCACTTTATGTACAAATGATGTGTACCATGGAGTATCTATCGTGTGTGCCAAGTTGTTGATTATGTAGGCTAGGAAAGTTAAAGAAATATATAAGGGAAGTTAGGCTTGAGTTAGATTGGAAATTAGGATTGCTAAAGGAGCCAGGAACATGGAAACCAGCAAGGAATATGCAGGGAAGAGCAGAGACTGGTGATATAATGTTGTGAAGGGGTCTGAAATTCAGAGGTGATTATTGTTTTGGGACCCTGTAATTATGGACCCTGACTGTCCACCTAAGAAATTTTGATTTAGCTCACTAGGTAAGTAGAAAGCTTTTGTGAGTATTTGCTCTAGTAATGTGTGGAGTGTTTGAGTGAATGCACCCATGTTTGAATGGATAATATTATGATGTCTTAATGAGGGAGTAAATCAGTGAATCAATGTTTGAATAAGTGAGTAAATGAACAGATGAATGAATAGGTTCCTAGGCAGAAATCATGTTGTGAAAAGATCAGTGAGAATTCAGCAACAGACACCCAAGATACATTTAAGAGAGAGAACACCAACTGGGTAATTGGGTTTTAACTCAGCACCTTCTCGTAGGGATATTACAGCATAGTGTATGTCTGTAAGGGCTTGATGATGAAAATTCTTACATCAAATCCAAGTTAATAAGAGTAGTATCAGAGATTTGTACAGTACTGTACATTGTAAAAGCACTCTCACATACATGCATAAATACAGTTGATTCTCAGTGGAATTTTTTCAAACTACATCTGTGTTTAATTAAATGATGTTTAAAATGCCTGGGCCATTGGCCAGGTATTAGGAAGTATTTTAGTTTTAACACTTTGTGAGACTGTGTGGTCAGCATCAGGAGCTACTTGTTAGGATATTGGTTATGCTAAATAGTAAATAAACAGTGATCCTTACAGCCAATTACCCTTTTCTCCCCCATCTCCAGGGAAATCCTTCCCTGGAACACAGAATTTCCACTTGGAGGTCGGACTCATTATTCTCTCTGTAGTGTTCGCAGTATGCCTTCTAGCTTGTCTACTGGGAGTTGCTCTCCGAAAATTTAAAAGGCGCAATCAAGAACGCCTCAATCCCAGAGATGTGGAGTACGGCACCATCGAAGGGCTCATCACCACTAATGTTGGAGACAGCACTTTAGCCGTGAGTTTGTGACCCCACAGGGAATCAACCCCAAGCATACCGAAGATGGCTGAAGACACTGTCTTATTCTGAGTGTGAAACACTAACCAGGACGCCTGAATAATGCAGGCACATGCTATTGGTCACTTACGTGCTAAGCAAGCATATGCTGGCACCTGTTTAGTCTCCCCTACATCACAACCTCCATTTTAGACAGACATTTAAATAAGGGAGGGTATTTTAGTAGATTCTTGGCAGTTACTTTTCTTTTGGGAGTAAGAGAAAAGGGTCAGAGAATGGTTGCCTGCAGTTTTGGAGGGTTTGGAATTTGTGGTACTCAGTTACTCTATTTTTAGCAATAAAGTGCTTAAAAAAAAAACCCACCTTTTGCTTCATATTAAAAATCAATTTCCCGTCTAGAATATTTCAACACCCTGTAATTTAAGACTTTAAAACTTGACATCCCCCAAAAAGCAGCTATTAAATGTTTCATGCTCTTGTGCTGCCCCCTGGTGGAGTGCAGTCACCCCCACCTTTTGCTTCATATTAAAAATCAATTTCCCGTCTAGAATATTTCAACACCCTGTAATTTAAGACTTTAAAACTTGACATTCCCCAAAAAGCAGCTATTAAATGTTTCATGCTCTTGTGCTGCCCCCTGGTGGAGTGCAGTCATTTGGTTAAACCATTGCTGTCCAGCATTGTGTCTTTTAAAATTTTAAGTAGCCACCTTCAAAAAAGTAAAAAAAAAAAAAAAGCAATTGAAAATTAATTTTAACAAATATTTAACCCATATATACAATTTTTATCATAATATTTTACCAATAATAAAATTAAAATTTTTATCAATAATAAAAAATTATTAGTGAGATATTTTACATTCCTGTTTTTGACCTAAGTTTCCAAGCTCTTGTGTGTATTTTCCATGACAGAATATATCAATTCAGGCTAGCCACAGTTTACTGGCTCAGTGGTAACATGTGCAACTACCCTATCGGACAGTACACAGTTAGAAACCATGTATTCATGCATTTAAAAACAACTCTTTGGCATCTTTTAAAATGATGAAACAACATTAAAAAGTGACCGTCTTCCTTCAGTTACTTTTAAAAATTATTTGTCAAGTGTTAATTTTAAAGAAACTTTCAGTGGTAAAAGGATATCACTTGCTATAAATAGAAAGTTACCATCAAGTGCAAAATGAAAATGTAATAACATTGTACCTGGACAGTATATTGAGTCTGATGCCTATTCTGAAAAAGGCAAAGATTTGTGGGTGTTAGAGAGGTGTGAAAGACATGCCAGTACCAAGTCGAGACGACTCCTTGTCATAATCCCTTGAATTGAAAGACAGCTAATGCCATGCCCACGTATCATCCAGAACCATCTCGTGTTAAGTCTTGTTCTGCTAGTTCTGCACTTACACTTGCTCTGCAACTTCATTTTTTTTGCTGAAGAGGACTTCCCCTTGCCAATGGCCGTCTTTGTAACTCAGGTGCTATACCTGGACAACCGCAGGTCCCACCCTGGCAGGTTGTCGGAACATTTGGTAGTGGCTGATACAGGCTGGGAAACATTCCATCCTACTGCCTGCCCCATCACTATGAAAAAGTGAGAAGTAATCTTGTGTAGCACCCTTTTACCTACCTATTTAAATTGTGGTACAGTAGAACCAGGGAAAGAGGATATAAGGACATTCCATTTGGAAAAGTAGAGAAATACGGTTTTCCTCTAGAAATATACTTAGAAGTTTATTTCAAGCGTTAAAGAAAATTAAATGAGTTTATTGAGTTAGCAGCTAAAAGATGTGGGGATGAATCTTGACAAAGCTTCTGCAAAGCAAGATTCTAAAATAGATTAGTCAGAACTTCATTCCTCGGAGCTGCTCACATAACTAATTACCAAGGGCAATAATAGGAATATCTAGTGTAAATTACCATTTAAATAGCTTTTAGAATTTTGAAAGAGGAATGGGAGTGTATGCCAAAATAGTCTTCTAAACTCAACCATGTCAGGTGACAGTATATCATGATATAACAACACAGTAGAGAATGCTATTTTAAACAAGTTGCCGTTATTGGCCTACATACTTGTTTATTTAAGCGATACTATGTTGAGTATAAATTTACATGATTCAATAAAGCATGCCCTTACTATACTGCTCCCCTACATTGAAAAAGAAGCCTTAGAATCCAAGAGTTAAGGTAGATGTTTATTAGTCTTTGTTTGATCCCCCCCCCCCACACACACCTCCCGAAACCTATGAACTGGGTTTAGAACCAGGATTACACATATGGAAAAACAACACATTGGTTTAATTTTCAGAATTATTCTTCCAAAAAAAATTGAACAAATAAAGAGAAAAAAGAACGGCAAGAGGGTGAATAGTTAGAGAGATGTGAAACTCTGCTTCATCTACACTTTTTCTTGTTGATTATCCCTTTGTGGTTTTTAAGGGTTCTAAATTTCTTTCATTGGATGTTCACCTTTTGGTAATTGTGCTGATCAACAGTACTTTGCTCAGAGGAAGTGCAAGAAGATGAAACTCACACAAATCAATGTATTGCTTTAACAGGCCAGCTAAAATGTTCGGGAAAGATGAGCTTTGGGGGGATGTTAGCTCAACATTACTGCAACCTTACCAAGATCAACTATGGGCACCATATTGTTTAATACAAATCATCCATGCCTGATACCAAAAGACTTGTGCTTACTGGCTGGTGCTGAGAATAAGAAGGAAAAGTTCATGAATGAATTAACCAGAAATCTTTTTGTGAACATGTTCATGGTAGAAGTCCATTTGGGGCACTGGTTTTACCCTTTCAGTGGAAGTTTTATTTTTTTCATCTCTGATTTGTGAGTTATGACCAGTAAGTGTTAATTTAGTGACCCTTTTATTCCTTACCCACCTAAAAGGTAACTCCATCCAGGCAGCCCATTTCTGCCTGAGTGTACCAATTTAATGACTTACATGGTCAGTACAAACGCCAGAGGGATGGCTGCGGTAGCGATCGCGGGTTCACAGCGTCTCCACCCACTCCCCTCCTGGTGCTCAGGGCTTCTTTGGGCTGGGCTTTGCAGCCCCTGCCATCCCATCCTTTGTTTTGGGGAGGTAGCTGGCTGTCAGAAGCTACCTCCACCACCTGGCTGCTGTCCTCTGGATTTTCTTCTTCTTTTTATGAAAGAGGGACACCCCCAAACTCAGTGGTAGAAAGGGGGATGGGCAGAGGTTGGGAGAGCAGCATCTGCTGCCTGTGGCACGCAGGTGACTAGCAAGAGCTTTGCTGCCTTTTCTTTAGGTCTGCAGCTACTGCGACTGTTCCCCACTTCACGCTTCTCCACAGCAGGTTGTAAATAGAGAAAATAAAGATGGAAAAGCCCCACATGTGCTCATTACATACAACCAATTGTCTTCTTGTACCAACTAGTATACTATTGGATTATGAACACGGGTCTCCGGGTAATGGTGGGAAGGCAGTGATGGGTGCATTTACCTGTCTTGCCTACCCCCACCCTCCTGTCCCGGGGCCACTCACCATTTACAGAGCAGTGTGGGATCTCAGGCTCTGTCCCGAGGGCAAAATAATATCACACCTTTAAAATATATACTATTTCTGGTTCTGTAGATATTCTGCATTTTTTGACTTAGTGTAAATTCAATTATTGCATTTTGTTGGGTTAGCATTAAAGACTTTAATAAAAGCAGTGCTTTTCTGATAGCTTATAGTTCATGTGGTACAGCTATGAATAAAAATAACATGTAATGAACTGCATGGATAATAGGTTATTATTTTTGTTTTAAAAACATGGGAAGTTGGACTAGGTGAGTCATTTTCAGATGATGAACAGTGAAACCCCAAATTTCAGGCTCCTTAGGGATCCTCTTTGTGGGGCTGTGTGGCCAGGGCTTCTGGGCAGCTCTGCTTTTGTTTTAGGGGCTTCTGTATAAGGTTGCAATTGCTAAAAGCATTTGACAACTTAAAAGCATTTGAAAACCATTGAAATAGATTTCTATTTTAATTTTGTCTGTCAACCCTGCCCTACATCTCCTTCTTTCTTAAAAAAAAAAAAAAGGTCTTGAGGCAACTTTATGTCCACAATTCCTTGGAATATTTTTCTTTCTTTTCTAATGAGAAAATGAGGACAAAGGGAAAATGAAGATACAAAATGGAACCAAAGGCAGGAAAATATTAGCTTACCATTTTTCTAGTAGCCCATTTTGTAGTATATTAGCACTAGCCCTCTTCTTGAGCTGGAAATGCTGGGCAGTGGCTAAGACTATAATAAAATGAATCCTGTGCTAAATAGTATTTGTGTGTCATGACATTGGCACACAATGAGCATTTATCACCACATTTAACATCCCTTTGGATTAGTCATTGGTATTTAATAGGGACATTGTTTCTCGTGAGGGAATCTAGACTTGGTGCTTTTGATTATGTCTCAGGTGTGTTACCTGGACAGACCTGCTTCTTTCTCCATGTTTGGGTTCTTAGTGGCTTAGTTTTCCAGCAAAGAGCTTTATTTCTGTATATGCAGGTGGTGCTGCAGCTGCTTATTAGAAGCCGTGTGATCCCAGCAGCCACTTGCCTGGGTGGAAACCCACTGCCCCTTACAAGTTGTATCTCCTGCTGCATTGTTATGTAGGCTGATTATACCCTGTGTTGATCCTCATAGTCTCCCAGTAATTACCTCCTCCTCCCAACCCCCCTGATCACCCCTACCTATAATTAAAGAGAAGAATGGAAGAGGGAGCATGTAGTTGACAAGCTGACAGGTGTGTTGCTGCTGCAAGAGGGGCCCATGCACGGAACAGATCAGATCACAACCAAAGTCACCACATTTTCCAAAATGGGTTCTCCAAGTGACCTTTTCAGTATAGCCCACTTGTGGCACCACAGGGGCTATCTAGCAAATACCCATGACCAATGTCAGAAATCAGAACTGTTCTGGGATTATGTGTTTAAGACTTTGCAAATCCTCTTTTGAAATATATCCTCTGCCAAGAAGTCCTTTAGGGATGGCAGTGGCCTGCTTGTTACTCTCCAGCACAGCATTGTTTTGTTTTTGTTTTCTCTTTAATCCTCAGAACACACATCTCAAACTTAATAGTTTCCTTTGTGAAATAAAAAATGCATATGTAAATTCACAAATTTGAATGCTTAGAAAATGCTTATGTCGATCCTGTATGACAGTAAGGAACCAAAGAAGCCATTCAGTTTAGCTCCATCCACTCTTTTGGATTTCAGCACAACATTGAAATCTAACAATCTGTACCATCTTCTATGATTTACTAACTTTCATGTGTTTTTAAAACCGTATGCATTTTTTTACCTTTCAATAGAGGAATTTAAATGTAAGCTAGGTGATTATCAGCTCATTGTAGAATGCTGATAAAGAAAGCAGTTTAATTTGTCATTACAATAGGGTGGATGGGAGGGGATGGTTCTACCTTATTTTTTGTCTTTACATGCAAAAGTTTGTGCTATTTAAATCCCCACACTGAGTTTCTCGAGTAAACAATGGGAGGGATTAAGAATTGCAGGCACTGGTTTATCAGTTCATTCTTTAATGTGTCATTCGTGCTGTCTGCCTCTCATGTGTCCAGTGTCACCTCTGTTTTACTTCCCCTAGGGAAAGGCAGGTATGGTGAGGTGTGGAGGGGCAGTTGGCAAGGGGAAAATGTCGCCGTGAAGATCTTCTCCTCCCGGGATGAGAAGTCATGGTTCAGGGAAACAGAACTGTACAACACTGTGATGCTGAGGCACGAAAATATTTTAGGTAAGTACAAGGATAGTCCCCTCATTAATCGTATTTAGATAGAAATAATTGCCTGCCTTTCTCACTCTGTTTTGGTAAATGTGAATTTGAGAGTCTCTCATGAAAAGCAATGTAAGGATTCTCAGCATTCGTACACTGTTTAATTTTCTTATACTACCAATTTCTTGTTTAAATCTGCAAATAAGTTTTAAGATTCTCTGGACGATGAAAAGGAAATCCGTTATTGCTTCTTCTTATTCCTACATCTGCAGATTGTTATTTAAGCAACAAAAATTTGCCCCATATTGTTCATTTCAAGGCTTCATTGGTTGTTCTACTTACCCCACCCTTTTTGAATATTTATTACTTGAATCAAACTGAGAAAGATCTTTGGACTATTTCCTAGAGATTCACAGCTCCCAGGGACATCGTAATTAAATGCACATTCCCTCAAACGAGGCATCATTTTTAAAGCCCAGATTTACAGAAGAATTCAGCATGCATTTTAATTTTGAAACTAAAGCTTAGCAACACTTGTGAAATATGTAAAGTGCCCATTGAAATACCGCTATGGCAGTATAAAGGATGAGCGTATTCCTTGGGCCCGTTGACTTCTGTATTTTTGAAAAGTTTCTCTAAATATGTATGGTGAATGCTGCCTGGAGTGCTTTTTTAATAGTGGATATAAATTTTATATAAAATTTAATTGTATAGGATAGTGTTAGCCACTTTTGGCTATTGGATTAGGTCTGACTTATTGGAAGGCCGTGGTAGGAATTTATTTCTATTCCTGTACTGCCAATTTAGTATTTAAATCTGAGTCAAGTTGTCTGCAAATAAGAGTTGATAGTTGTTCAAAGCTTTGCTTCAATGATGTGGTGGTTATGTTCCATCTTAGAATTGTTTCAGTTTCTGCTGTTGATTTCTCTTTCCTTTACCCCTTGGGCCTTAGTCATCCCCTAATCCTCCTCACTTGTACTGTTGATATCAGCTTCCCATTTCCAATCCTTCTTCACACGGAGTTGTCTTTCATTGAGGAGCTCAGATAATTCTGCTCAAAGTATCTTTGATGACTCCCAAATTGCCTGCAACATTTGTGACTTCTGAGTGTGGCATTCAAGACTCCCTATTTGGGGCTCCAACATTTATCTACAAATATGCTCATAATATTTGCCATCCCTTGGGATTGCATCTAGGTCTGTAGGTATTTGTTCACGTTGTTCTTAATCACTCACTGTATTAGTCCATTTTCTGTTGCTCATAACAGAATCTCTGAAACTGGGTAATTTATTAGAAAGTGAAATTTATTTCTTACAATTTTGGAGGCTGGGAAGTTCATGGTCCAAGAGAGGGGTGCATCTGGTGAGAGCCTTCTTTTGGGTGGGAACTCTCTGCAGGGTCCTGTGGGAATGCAGGGCATCTCATGGTGAGAATGGCATGAGCAAGAGCATTAACTTGTTCTCGTTACAAAGCCATCAGAACCACTCCCTGATAACTCATTAATGAATTAACCCATTCATGAGGGAAGGGCCTCAAAATCTAATCACCTCTTAAAGGCCCCACCCTTCAAATACCATAACAGGATTTCCTTCCCTCTTCACGCTGTTAACACTGGTCAGATTTCCAATACATGAACTTTTGGGGGGACACATTCAACCCCTAGTACTTGCTGTCCCCTTCCCACTTTCCCGTAAAACTGGTAAGGCAAGGGCACATGGTAAGTGCTCCGTAAATATTTATTAAATTGGATTTAATCACAAGGCAAATTTGAAAGTCATCTTTGCAGTGTAAGTGTGATTTGTGTATAAGAAGTTAGGTTCCCTTAGTGTGATCACATAGGGTAAAATATTGTCCATTTCATCTGTGGACATTTTGAATTCATGGGATCTTTCTACCGTCATAGTAGTCACAGCCATATGGATTGGTCTTACTGTGTAGTCCTTCTAGTTGAGAAAGCTCATAGAAAATTTTTGTTAAACTTTTGCCATTGCTTTACCAGTTTTATGGGTATAGAGAGTTTGTTTTGTGGGATTTTTTTTTTAACCAAAAAAGAATTACATTTTGAATATCAGATCATGATTCCCCCAACCCATGAGTATTGCTAACTCTAGGCCCCCCAATGCATAATTAAATTACACACACACACACACACACACACACACACACACCCACACACACACCCTCCCACCCTACATATACTTATATACATACATGTAAAACTCTGGGCCCTGATTGTTTATCTTCTTGATTAAACCTATGAAACAATATCTTTCAAATGGACTAGTTTGAATTTCTGCTCCTTCTCTGCTGCGTCTGGTGTGGAAGTTTACAGGTGACTAATAGGAGCCTGTGCCAGTAGTCTGGAAGTCTGGGAAACTGATTTTACTCTGAGCACCATTAGAGGCCCACTATGTGACTTTGGGTCAAAGTTGTGTCTTTCTGGGCTGGCTCGGTGGCGCACTGCTACAGTGCGCCGCTTGGGAGTGCGGCGGCGCTCCCGCCGAGGGTT